AGAGAGAGAGAGAGAGAGAGAGAGAGAGAGAGAGAGAGAGATAGATGAAAGATAGATGCATGGATGGACGGATGGATGGACGGACGGACGGACAGACAGACAGACCACACCTAACAGTGAGGATTATTAACCAATGGAACAGCCTGCCACCAGAAGTTGTGAATGCTCCATCACTGGAGGCTTTGAAGAAGAGACTGGACAGTCACTGGTTCGAAATGATGTAGGCTCTCCTGCTTCAGCAGGGGGCTGGACTAGAAGACCTCCAAGGTCCCTTCCAACTCTATTATTCTGTTAGTCGAACAAAGAGAAGGATCAAGGGGGGGGGGCATGATAGCATCTTCCAATATCTAAGGGGCTTCCACAACAATGAGTGGGGGGGGGGTTCCCACCTATTCTCCAAAGCCCCCCGAAGGCAGGACCAAGAAGCAATGGATGGAAACTCACCAAGGAGAGAAGCAACGCTGGAATGGAGGAGAAACTTCCTCACCGTGAGGACAATTCACCAGGGGAACTCCTTGCCACCAGAAGTTGTGGCTTGCTCCAACCTTGGAGTTTTTAAAGAGGAGGCCGGACAGGCATTTGTCCGAAGGGGTCCAGGGCCTCCTACTTGGGCAGGGGGTTGGACTAGAAGACCTCCAAGGCCCCCTCCAGGGCGGTCGCGCACGCATGCGCGGGGCACACACCGGTTGGGGGGTGGTCGGCGTGCATGCCTGGGGGGGGGCAAGATATATGGGGGGGCTTGCACATGCCTTGCATACAAACACACAAAAGGAGAGGCTAGTGGTGTGTGTTGTTGTTGTGTGTGTGTGTAAGTCCTTTCCGTTGACTCCTTTGAGATGTTCCTTGTGGAGGTGGGCTTGGCTTGCTTTCTGGAGCCCGAGGGGAGGCGTTGGCTCCGGGGGAGAGGAAGTGTGGCTCGCCATGCGCTTTCTCTTGGCAGTGCTGCTTCTTCTTGGTCATGACACACACACACACGTGTGCGAAGCTTGTGTTTTTTTGTGCCTGTTTTCTGTTCTCCTTGGACGTTAATTGGGCAGGGGGGGAGAACTGGGCAGGATACGGCGGCCTGTTTTCATCCGATTTAGCTCAGCGAGAATGGACATGAGCCTGGGCGTTAAGCCTTCCTGGGGATTACTGTTACCATCGTCCACAGCCAACATGAGTTAGGGCCCGGGGGGGGTAGGGGGTAGGGGCTGGGAGTAATGGGTCTGGAGGCCAACAGGCCACCAGGACAGGGAAGATGGAAGGATGGAGGGTCTAGGGGAGGGTTCCTCAGTGTTGGGCCCTTTAAGACGTGGGGACTTCCACTCCCAGAATTCCACGCTTAAGATGGGAGGACTTCTTCTCCCAGAATTCCATGCTTATGTCTGGACTTCATCTCCCAGAATTCCATGATTAAAGATGGGTGGACTTTAACTCTCAGAATTCCATACTTAAAATAAGTGGACTTTATCTCCCAGAATTCCACACTCAAGATGAGGGGACTTCATCTCCCAGAATTCCATGCTTAAGATGAGTGGACTTCCATGTTTACGATGGGTGGACTTCAGCTCCCAGAATTCCACACTCAAGATGAGGGGACTTCATCTCCCAGAATTCCATGCTTAAGATGGGTGGACTTTAACTCTCAGAATTCCAGGTTTAAGATGGGTGGACTTCATCTCCCAGAATTCCACGCTTAAGATGAGTGGACTTCATCTCCCAGAATTCCATGCTTAAGATGAGTGGACTTCCATGTTTACGATGGGTGGACTTCAGCTCCCAGAATTCCACACTCAAGATGAGGGGACTTCATCTCCCAGAATTCCATGATTAAGACGGGTGGAACTTTAACTCTCAGAATTCCATGTTTAAGATGAGTGGACTTCATCTCCCAGAATTCCACACTTAAGATGGGTGGACTTCATCTCCCAGAATTCCACACTTAAGATGGGTGGACTTCATCTCCCAGAATTCCACATTTAAGATGGGTGGACTTCATCTCCCAGAATTCCGTGTTTAAGATGGGTGGACTTCATCTCCCAGAATTCCGTGTTTAAGATGAGTGGAGCATCTCCCAGAATTCCACCCTTAAGATGGGTGGACTTTAACCACGGTGTCTGGGGAATTCTGGGAGTTGAAGTCCCCTTCAACTTCACCAAAGCAATCTTGCTTTGAAGATCCGTTATGAAGGCCCCTTGAGGGACCTTCAGGATTTGAGGTTGGGCAAAGGTTGTCCTTAAGGAAACCCAAAGCTATTGAGAGGCCTCTCTCCGCCAGAACCAGGGATGGGAATGATTTATGGAAATGAGGAACATCTGGCGGAAGTAAGGCCGCCTGCTGCATAATATTTTGACGGCAAGGCCTGGAATGCCTCACAGTTGGACTCCTTTCCCCGTCTTGCGGGAAGGAGGAGCTGGATCTTAACACCTTCCACCCTTCCAGGATCATCGGCATGCTGTCCGAGGAGGAGAGGGGCCTCTTCCGGGAACGCATCCGCTACCTGGACCGGAAGATCCAACCTGGCCTCAAGAAACTCCACTGGTCCCTCAAGGGAGCCAGCACGGTCTTCATCTCGGAGTGTCGTCTCCATGCCAGCAAGGTCAGGACGAGGACTCCTTGACCCCCACCTCCCCTAGGATGCCTTGAGAGACACGAAAAATGAGGGTTGACATCCTGAGCCCCATAAATCACTGGGTAGCTGATCTGCCCCACTTGCAACTGCTTGGTCCACTCGGTACAGGGGGACTGTGGAAGATGGAGGACACCTTCCTTCCTTCTGGGGTTCTGCTCCTTCAAGGAGTTCCTTGGTCCCCTTATTGTGGAAATTGTGGCATTAGCCTTTCCTTGCCTGTCCGCAAGTGGGCTAGGTTGCCCTCTTTGGGCAGCTCTTGGGGCCAAAGCCGTCTCCTGCTCCTCTGACTGTGTCCCCCAAGACCGAGGAGATGCCTCTAATTGCATTCGCCCACCGAAAAGTCCAGGCCTTCAAGGAGTTAACTGCAGTACAGACCTTATCAGTTCCTTGCGATAATTGCCAGGCTATAAGCTCCCAGCCGTCTGGCAAGCAGTCTTTGAAGCAGGAAAGGCAATGAGCAAAATCTTCAGAAATACGAACTGTTGTCTCCTACGACCACCACTCTCTTTTCCTTCTATATACTCCCTAGCCAGGGAGGGGCCATTCAGTGTGTGCTTTGTGTGTGCTTTGCTTCCCAAGTCGAGTCCTTGTCCTCCCTTGTTCTCCTCTCCTAACAGCTCTGCGCATACGTGCATCTGGAACAGGCCCCAGCTGTTCTTCCTCCCCACTTATCTCAGCCTCCAAAGGCAGCTGCTGTCTCTCCAGTGGCTGGGAAATGCCGGACGGCCGTGGCTCTATCTCAGCGTCCAACCCTGAGCGTCGGTCAGAGCCTTCCCCAGGCTCCAGAACTGCTCCATGTTCCTTCCCAACCTCCTCATTGTCCGAGTCTGGTGGGCCACCACAATGCCCTTGAGATCCCTTCAGGTCTCTTGGGCAGGCCGTATCTTCTCCTCTTGCCATTCTGAGTGTGGTCCTCCAGGCCCACTAGGAGCCACCTCTTCCCAACATCTGGGGCTCTTCTTCCATCTTCTCTCCTGGCTGTCCTCCCTCTTCCCACAGGTCCAGAACATTGTCAACGAGTACAAAGCCGCCACCTTGGCCATTGCTCGCCGGGCCCAGCAGATGAGTGAGGCTCTGTTGGTCCGGATCACCGGGAAGCGGGTCTACAACGACCTGGAGTTTGAAGAGGACCAGAAAGACCACCGGGACCTGGTGCAAAAGAAGCTGGTCACCTTCCACGAAGACAGCATTGCCATCATGCGGCAGACGTACGAGGTCTTCAAGAACGATGGGTCAGAGGTGAGGAGGACCAGCGAGTATTTGTTGGCAAGGGAGGTCTTCATGAGCGGCCTGCTTGAAGGACACCGGGCTGAACCCCTGTGTGAAGAGGACCCCTCTCCTCTTCTTCTTCTTCTTTTTCTTTTTCTTTTTCTTCTTCTTCTTCTTCTTCTTCTTCTTCTTCTTCTTCTTCTTCTTCTTCTTC